GCTTTTCTTCTACCACGAAGCATATATTTATAGTTTTTCACATGTTTTGTATGCTTTTTGAAAAATGAAAAATGCAACAGTACTATTAATGTGGGTTAATAATATTGTCCCACATCGGTTGGGTTTGTGATTCATAGGCAATATATATGTGTTGTGGCAATCCTCCTCCCTTAATCTAGATTTTGGGTGTGAGTTAGGCCCACACTAATAAGTACTTTAAGCTATCCATTTCAGGTGCAATTTTCATTCAGCAACAAATACAAAATCAAAGAAAAATTGTAATTTTTTTTAATATGTTTACAAATTACAAACACACGTACGCTAAGAAAAAACTGATATTTCGTTTTACGTGTATGGTGTTGAATGAATTTTGTTTAAAGTGGTTAAGCTTACGTTAAGTTGTGGCCTTGTAGGTATACATAAGCACAAATGTTAATATTATAAACGCCTCTTACTCATTCCAGTTTACTTGCTTCTTTATTTTGTAAATAAACAATTTTTTCCAGTATAATATATTTTACCCTATTATAATTTTTATTTCTTAAGGGACGAGATATATCGAAAGAAATACGGAGATGATAATTGGAAAATACATCAACGAAGAAAGATCTTATCCTCGTTGGTTCGTTATCAAATTCACAGGAATCCTAGAGCTTGCTCAACAACTTGGCTTACATTTTGTCTTCTCTAGTCGCTGCATCGATATGATCAAAGGGATGTTTTATCAACGCCAAGAGATTATCAAAAGGTAACATTATATGATAAGAAATCTTGATCCAAAAAGTTTCCCCATAAGCATATATAATAGTTATAAAAAAAGTTGGGTTAACTAATATTGTTTTCCAGAGAAAAATTGGTGGATGATTGTAACTACAAACCTCTATTGGCCTATCTAGAGGTGTTACCATGGAAATTATATGTCAAAAATAAAGAAGACATCATCGTTAAGAGTCTCGACAGTATCGATGGCTCGTTGTTTCAGTCGCCTTCAGCAACTGCGTCAGCGTTTATGCTCACTCGCAACACAAAATGTCTAGCTTATCTTCAAAATCTCGTTCAAAAATGCCCTAATGGAGGTTAATCAACATTCTAGTTATTCCAAAGTTATAAATAATTTGAATATGATTATTATTTAAATGCATTTTAAATATTTAACTGACAAGCTATGTGTGATTTCTTGTCTCAGTGCCACAAAAGTACCCTCTCAATGAAGATCTCATAAAACTCTCCATGGTTAATCTAATCGAGAGTACTGGTTTAGGAGAGTTCTTCGGTATAGAGATTGAACACGTTCTTGAACAAGTTTACAGGTGAGGGAAATTTATAATCAACTTTTTTTACTTTTCTTTAAGAATATATAATATTTAAGCGAAACTTATTTTCTTCGGGTAATTTTAAGGCACTACGAGGAAAAAGATGTCGAGAGAATGTCCATGAGTTATCTAGCTGATCAATTGCACAAAGACTCTCTTGCATTTCGGATGTTAAGAATGCATGGTCGAGACGTTTCACCTAGTAAGAATTCTCGTTTCTATGTCTTTCTTCATCGGGTTCTCGTTAGTGCATCTCCCATCGGTTGGTTTTCAAAGACATTTTAACCACTAATATAATTAAAAATAATTTTAAAAGAGGAAAAAAAAAAATGAGAAACGGTTATCAATGAGAACCCTTTTCCTGCCACATGTTCTAATATTAAAATTATTATTATTTTATTTGTGAAAACATTTTATAGTCTCTACACCGATGAAGGTGCTATTTACAACTCCATATCAAGTCAAGTCCTCAGTTATTTTGTAAATCAAGCTCAAATATCAAAGTGGTAGTCTTTTGTCGGCAGAAAGCACGGCCGTTTTGTATTTCTTATTCTTTGGTTAAGGCTTTCCATTTTATTTGTGAAATTGTATTATATTCTTTAACTGGGAAAAATAAAATCAAACTACTGTGTATACTCTATAAAGTTCAAATTTTTGAAACTGGCCATTATATTAACAGAAAAAAATATATCATCTAGATTGATCAAAAATAATTCTTTATTATTTACTATGCTGATTTTAAAAGCCTAAGTGTAAATCCTTTGCAGGAAGCTTTTGTTGGTTCTTGAATGATCAAGAAATGCGATATCAGTTAGAAAGAAACATAGACTCTTTCTTGCTTGTGATCCTAAATGTTTATAGAGCCACGGATCTCATGTTTCCGGGAGAGAATGATCTTGAAGAAGCAAGAGAATATACTCGGAATTTACTCAAGAATAGTCGGTCCATTAATGAAAAAATGGTACTAATATTTTTCAGTAAGGTGAAGTATATATTTTAAGTGATTTAAAACGCATTGCTTATTAATTGTTTCAAATAATGATTGATGTGTAGATTGTGCATGAATTAAGTACTCCATGGATAGCTCGACTCAAACACCTTGATCATAGGATGTGGATTGAGGACAAGAACTCAAATGCCCTCTCAGTCGGAAAAGCCTCTTTTCTAAGGTATGTACAATTAATACATATGTAATTGATCTATCTAATTCTAAATCCATCAATAATAAGCTAATTCAAGGGTTTTTTTTTTTTCTTCTTCTTGTGATTTCTGGAATCAGACTAAATAGTGCGTATAGCAACAAACTGACTCATCTTGCCGCAAAAACCTTCGAGTTTCGACAAGCCAAATATTGTCGCGAGCTGGAGGAATTGACAATGTGAGTAGACTTTAGTTTACATTGCATGGTAGTTGAGAACAAAAGCATTTTGGTATTGAAAAAATGTCTTCTGATACACAAATTATAATCTATGAAGTGAATATATATAGTCTAACAATAGCGATTTGAAACAGGTGGGTAAAGAAATGGGGACTTAGTGATATTGGTTTTGGTAGAGAGAAGACAAAATATAGTTACTTTGCAACTGTGACTTCGTTGCCCTATGAATATGCCATTAAATTTGGTAAGCTTGCAGCAAAAAGTGCCATCCTCATCACAATTGCCGATGATTTCTTTGATGAAGTAGGTTCTTTCAATGACCTGGAAGCTCTTACTAAAGCAGTTTTAAGGTAAATTTATTAACATCCGGTTATGCTGGCGTGATTAGAGATCCTAATTAATTAATAACTTAATTCTATATATATTTGTTTTAGAACATATGTAGTTGAAGATAAGCTAGTGAATAGTGATCTACTGATTCTGAGAATATCAGGAACACTAAGAAGTTACTGGTTTAATTTATAAAATAACTAAAGAAATCAAACCTTTTTGAACTCGTTGAGATCTCTGTAAATTCATGGAAAAAAAAGATAGACAAAATACTATTTTTTATAAGCTATTTTATTAATTAAAAAAAAAACAACTTCAAGAAATCCAAAGCCATCTTGACTATTTATTAAAAAAAAAAGAAATTGTATTATCTTAATTTTACGTTGCATCAGAATTTAATTATTTTATTGATTCTTGATTGAATTATTGTTTACGTATATATGATAGATGGGAAGGAGAAGAGCTTAAAGGTTACGGCAAGATCATTTTCAGAGCACTTGATGATATTGTAAGAGAGACTGCAAATACTTGTCGTACGCACCACAAAACCGACATAATCGTCCATCTTCGCAACATCGTATGTCTCCTTAGTCGACACTTATCCATAAAAAAAAATATTTTGCAAAAATTAACATACATTTCGAATAGGATCACGTATTCCTTGTTTTAATGCACTGAAAAAAATAAAGTCTCAAATTTTAACTAAATTTTCACTTTTTATTATTATATGTAGTGGGGTGAAACATTTGAGTCATGGCTGCGTGAAGCTGAATGGAGTAAGAAGGGACACACAGTGTCGATGGAAGAATATATTCGAAACGGAATGATCTCAATCGCAGCACACACCATTGCTCTTTCCATCTCATGTCTCATGGAACCTTGTTTTCCCCAAAACAAACTCAAACAGGGAAATTACGATAACATAACTACATTGCTCATGATCATATCTCGACTCTTAAATGATCTACAAAGTTTTCAGGTGATTCAACTTTTAGGTTTATTTGTTTTTTGGGGTTTAATTAATTCAAATGAAATCAAGGAATGTTAATCCTATGACTTGGAAAATGTATATTTTTATTTCACAAGATAATTTTGTTATTAAACGATCAAACTTGTCCATGCAACGTTATATTGCAGAAGGAACAAGAACAAGGGAAGATCAACTCCGTGCTGCTCCACTTGAAGAATCATCCAGGTCTCAAGATTGAGGACTCGATCGCTCATATTGAAAAGATAATCGATTCAAAAAGAAAAGAGTTTATGGAGCATGTACTAGTTGATGGACAAAGTGACTTGCCGAAACCGTGCAAAGAGATTCACATGTCTTGTTGTAAAGTCTTCGAGATGTTTTTTAACAAGAAGAACCGTTATGATTCGGACACGGAGATGCTTCAAGACATTAAGAAGGCTCTCTATGATCCCGTGAATGTTTATGAACTATCAGAGATCGAGCCTATGCCACTAATGACACATGGCGATGACTTTGTGATTCTTCCTTTGCTTTTGAATAGTTTGGCGCCAAATATTATTGAATTTAAGAGGAAGGACGAATACGGAGCAATGAAAACATCTATGTGCTTGGGAAGAACTTATAGTGTTCATAAACGCGTTATGGCCTCACAGCTTGATGATCACCAGAAGCATCTCAAGATTGTTGCCTCGCAGCGGAAACCGGTACCAATGATGCCATCAATATTCGCACCATGCTTCTACTAATTAATATCGTATCATTATATATTATCTATATATAGATTGGTGATTCTTTACATTTGGTATATGTAAAATAGTTTGTGTTTTTTTTTCTGTGTGCAAATTGTTATGACAAGTGTGATTGTGAAAGATTAAGAAACTATGTTGCTTTCAATTATATTTATGATCGTTTTTTTTATATATATAGGAATGTAAATATCATATAAAATGAAAGTTTGAGGTTTTAGAAAAGAGCTTAACCAAGAAGTTGCAACCTTGCCAAAAAAAGAATAAAACACAAGGATTATAAAGTTTGTTTTGTGTCAACACGATTATCTGATACCAAAGAGCCATCAAGTTGGCGAATTGCTTCCGGTTCTTTCTGGCTGTGATGGTAATACGCATTTTCTTCTCAATGTCTTTGAAAACTGCAGCTGGTGTGGCAAAGAACTGGTTATGAAGAATATTATTCCTGAGCTTCCAAAGGTGGTACACGGCGGCCTGGCACGCAAACTTCCGAATAATTGGATGGGAAGAGTCTGTTTTCAACCTTGTCCAGGCAATAAGCGAGGACCAAGTGTGGAAACCACAAGGAGATAAGTGAAGGTGTGATTGGAACAGCGTCCAAACCTGCTCGCTGAAAGGGCATCTTAATAGCAAGTGCTCATGAGACTCTTCAAATATCAAACAAAGGAAGCAAGTTATGGGGGTAGAAATACCCCAAGAAGCTAACCAATCTCTAGCGGACAATCTATGGCTAAAAAGTTGTTCGGATCTCATATCGAAAGTGAAATGGATCTATATTAGTTGTTTTGTTATAATTAGATCTTTATGTTGTACGTATACAATGGCTTGAGTTTTTTCTACTCATTACTAGTTATGCTTTGATTTGAAAGTAAGACACCTAAATAGTACTCTCTATGTTCCCATCCAATTTTTAAACTTTTCACACATATTAAGAATAATTTTTTAATTGAGTATAAATGCATTTTTTGTGATTAACAAGTAAACCAATAGCACATATTCAATTATTGTTTTTTGAATTTTCAATTCATCACCAATAACTAATAAAAAATGCATATAAAATTTATTATAATCTTCAATTCTTCATAACTAGCTTGTCTTTATCGCGACAAAGGGGGAGGAACTCCATTGAGAAAGGCAGAGAAAAAAGCAAGAGATTCGCTGGGTTTGAACGAAGGCACATCATGTCCTGCTCCTTTGAAGGTTGCAAACGTTAGACCTTCATATTCTTGAAACCATCCACTTACCTAAATATCATCAACGTTGAACAAAAAGGATCTGATCACGCTTCAAAAATAACTCTCATTATATGATGAGACATCGATTAGTATATTTTTGAATGCGATCATTTTGACCTGTTTCTCGTGATACCATGGCCTCCAAGTTGTTTTGATTGGTAATTCCAGTTTATTTATGCAGTACCTTGTCGAGAGTACCGGAACTCTTCCGTCAGTATCGCCACTGAGTCACCACAAACAAATTGAAAATTGTTCAGCCAATTATAGTCAAATAGGATAAAATTTTCCTTAAAACCAAGAGGGTAAAGGAAAATAGATGGAAATACATTTTGCTCGGGTTTCAAGCAACCAAGTTTAGAATGTATGTTTCAGTCCCATTGCTCATATATTCCTATGAAGTTTGAAGTAGCAAATGTATAAACTAAAACAATTGTATTGTTTACCAAAAATGTAACCGAGAAATTTATTTACCTATAAACCCAAACTCTATATCCTCCGGCAATGAGTTTCTTATATATAGGCAAAACGGACCGCTTTGAATCAGTCCAGTTCCAGTGATTTAGAATATCAGCGCTGTTTTTCGGAAAAACAAGAAATGAGATTAATTTAGATAATCTTTATCATAGACTATAATCAGAAATTAAATAAGTAAATCACAAGAGTAATACATACTTGCAAATGGTCCAGTTCTTGAGATGAACACCATCAGTCGCGTGAAGAGCCTTTTGAACATCAGCTCTATTGTAGAATACTTTTGTGTAATCATCCAAACACGTGTCAAATCCATCGAACAGCCTTGGTATCTATGTAAGAGTTTCAGGTTAAGTTCTTGTAGCAAAACACACAATTAGTGAATGTATTATATAATTAGTTTACCATCTTGGAGTTGACGTAGGAATCAACCTTTGATGAATGGTGCATGCAGACAGGAGTGTAGAGGCTGAATTGATCGATCTCTTTGTATTGTTTGAGTATTTCATCTACGCCGTCTTTGCAATCTTTAATGTCCCATGTAGTGTTACTACTGAAATTGCAACTCCTTTCAATGACTCTATATATCTCGTCTGATATCACTGCGTGGCTCCACGCATAATCCACCCATCCTGTCCAATCTTCCGCATATGATGTCAATGGATTTCCAAGCTGCGTCCATAATTAATAAAATAAAAAGTTACAAAAATCATGTCTTGAATGGAACATCGGACAACGTACGATGTGTTTGTTTAGTGTTTTATGCGAATTAAACGTATTACTAATTACTAAAAGCTCCTTAAGCTTCAAATAACAAGTCTAGAATATATTCAAAGATTGGTCAAATTTTGAACAATTTACAATATATTCAATTTCTTTAGTGTTGTAGGAGATTCAAATATACTTAAGTGTCCTTAGATTAATGTTCAACGTCAATTTGATAATTAGTGTTATGCGAATCAAACATATACGGAAATGTCCTTAAAGTTCAAATCGAAGGACAGATAGAATTTACGTTGTTTTTGTGTAGTGTTTTATGAGAAACCAAAGGTGATAATTACCAAAATCCCCTTTAAATTAATGTGAAGTGACAAGTTGTCGTTGTGTTCCTTGTTCTTGTCATAAATAACCTCTGCAAGCTCGGGTACATATTTTCCTGTCCATGCATAATTTGTTTATATAATTCAAAACATAATTATCAAACCCTACATAACGTATTGTATAATATATTTTTTTTTGCATAGGTATTGTATAATATTGATTATATACGAAAATCAAAACCTGCATAGCTCTCTCCTGCGATAAAGAAGTTGTTTTCTTTGTAAGCTGGGAATCTCAAGAACCACTTCTGGAGAAAAATATATGAGTCTCTCGCTGTTAATTGAGATAAGAACAATCAATTGACATCCAACAACAAGATTTTTTTATTTATTTATATTATAAATATAATTTATATAAATATTTTACCTGTAAAGTCATCGCCAAGTTTTCTATAATCACTACTTGTGTTTGTATACGAAAACCCAACACCAGCCGGAGATTCAAGAAAGAGAACATTGGCCTCTGCATCACCAAATTTAACCCACTTAAACTCGTTACTCCCTCTGTTCCTAATAGTTTGATGTTTTGGAGTTTTCGCACATATTAAGAACTCAATTATTGTTTAATTATTTTAACATTGTTTTTAATCAAAAATATTTTTAATAATTATTAACCAGTAGTAGTCTAAGAAAGTTAATGATTTATAATCATTGTATCTTGAAGTTTACAATTTATTATATAAGTCAATAAAAATAAAATAAAAATGCTAGAAAATCAATTTTTGTGGAACAAACAATAAAAGCTAGAACATCAATCTTTAAGGAACAGAGTGAATATATATAACATATAAATATTATTGAATGACGATGATGATGGACATAAATAAAATAACTTTAATGTGGAAAAAAAAACCTTTAATATACCTTTATTCCATGCGTAGGGATTAAACTTAAGATCGTTTCCTTCGTTATCAACAAGAAATGGACCAATCTCTTGTGTTGCTCCGTATCCCACAGAAGAACATCCAGGACCTATATTTATTATATTTATCAGCAAAGAAAAATCAAAATGTGCCCACATCGGCCAAAAAGATTTATAAGAAAAAATGTGAATTTATCAACAAAAAAAGAAGTGAAATTAGTATAAATATGTTTCCTTGTAAGTGATAATGTTAGCCAGGTTACCTCCATTAAGCCACAGTACTAAAGGCTTTACGTTCGAATGAGTCATAGCTTCGAAGAACCAATAAAACAAAGCCCTCCCATTTGTTTCATTAACCGTGACATAACCGGCGTAATGTCTGAAGCTCACTTTTGGTTGGCCAGGAAAGTTTGTCACAAGATCTCTCATTGCTTCTGGACTATCAGATGAAACAAATACGAAAAGAATGCAAAGATACAAAGCAATAGACACATTGAAAATGTTCATCATAATTTGATGATTCAGAATTTTAATGGAGATCAAGTAAGAGGTAATGAGATGAGATGGATTAGACATGAAGGCTTTGATGTCAATCTATTTATAAGGAAATATGGTGACTCTATTTTTTTGTATCAAGGGGAACTTTGTGTTTGTTTTTTATTAAATTGAAAATACATAAACTAAGTGGGTATGGAATAGTAGTATCCTATTTGGTAATTTATGGCTTTACGCTTTATTTACTTCTTCTTCTTCTTTTTTTTGTAAGAGGCCCCTAGATGCAACTCTTATTAATGGCTTTAGCTAGTTCTTAAAAACCTGTTCAAACAAAATATACAGAGCAATTAATATATATACTTTTAAAACAAAATATAGCTAGCTAAGATAGCCCAATTGTAGCAGAGAAAGCAATGGTAGTTGTATAATATTAAAGACTTCACACAGTTAATGGGAAGCAGGTAATTTATTGGGTGATTGGGACCTAAACCAACATTAGATTAATGTATCAGGCCACTAATTTTATCAAGAACAACCGTTATTTAATATGACATTAACGTAGTATCTTGTGATTTTTTGAGGAATAGGAAATTTTGACGTACTATACTTTCATATTAAATGATCTAGTTTTTACTTATACTAGGTTATGAACCCCGCAATATCGCGGGGAACTCATTTTCAACAAATATATTTGATTGTGTTTATGTATTAAATTATTATGATAATATATTCAAAAATTTGAATTATTACATAAAATTAATTATGTTTTAACGTAAATATTTTCCAAAGATGTTAACAAATTTATGAATAAAAAAGAAAATAAATAATTATGATTAAAAATACTTTTGAAATAATTTTTGTGAATGTAAAACTATTTATAAGTGACAAAATATATCTCACTTTCGACGAAAAAAAAAAGGTGACAAAATACATAACAAAGAGTTATAATATAGAGATGAAAAATTCTAGCCGGTCAAAACCCAAAAATTCAGATGGAGTTTGTACTCAGTATGACTTGTAGGTGACTAAGAACTTTGCTCGAGAATTGGTGTTTTTTGTTTGTCCATTTTTCTTTTAAATATAAAATTAATATTTATTTTATTATATATATATATATATATTCGAAAGTATATAAAATTTGATGATTTAAATTACATCTATAACAAACAAATAAACATTTACAAGATCTCATTTATTTATATTTAAATTAATTGAGTAATAAAACTTCTCTCTTGAATATTCATGTGACGAATTGAAACCATTGCTTTTTTCCTAATAATAGAGATGATTTATGGATTACTATACTATTTGAAACGGTTTATTTAATGATTAATACATTCAAAGCGCCCAATCACAAGCGTCACATGAGGATGTCTTCTCATATTCCGACTTTGTAATAGTGCTAACTCAACATCAATATTTCGTTGTATACAACCCATATATATTGCTTTAAGATAGAAAGCATCATTGTTACCATATAAAATAGTTAAATAAAAAAAAAAGTTATTGTATAATCCGTCAAATTCTAAGAAAAAAATTGTTGGTATTTTCATTAGAATTTAATATTTAAAGTTGATTAAAACTTCTCCATTTTTATAATCACTCCAAAAAACTTTAGTTAAATTAGAAGAATTTTTTTAATATTAAGATTATGTATGTTTAGAAATAGTTTAGAGAATAAATAAGTTGGAGGCATTTTACAGATTTTTTTTTGGATTTATCATGAAACAAATAATCTATGTTAAAGAACAAAATTTGGAACTACTTAGGAAGAAGGACAAATACATAGAGTTCAAATGTCACAAATATTTAAATAGACAATTATTCATACAAAAAGTTGTGACGAAAAAATACAATGAAATATAGTGAAGAGACGTAACTTTAAATGAATAGATGCAACTATAAAGATACAACCGTAAACTAAAAAAAATATGACTATAATTTAACAAATAGAACTGTCCCAAAAATATTTCCGTCAATATTTAACAAAAATATGCGATAAAAAGACACAACTTAGAAAACATAACGGTCAATATTTTACCGGAAAGTTGCGATAAAAAGACACAAACGAAAAAGTTACCGTCAATATTTTAACGGAAAGTTGCGATAAAAAGACACAACTAAAAATAACCGTCAACGAAAAAAAGTAAATGTCAATATTTTAAAGAAGAGTTGCGATAAAAAGATATAACCAAGAAAAAATAATCGTCAATATTTTTAATGAAAAGTTGCATTAAAAAGATGCAACAGAGAAAAAATAATCGTCAATATTTTAACGAAAAGTTGCGATAAAAAGACACAACCGAAAAAAATAACCGTCAATATTTTAACGGAAAATTAAGAAAAAAAGACACAACCGAAAAAAAATAACCGTCAACAAAAAAATAACCGTAATTATTTTAACGAAGAGTTGCAATCAAAAAGAGACACCCGAAAAAAATAACCGTCAATATTTTAACGAAAAATTGCGATAAAGATACACAAACGTAAAAAGTAACTGTCAATATTTTAACGGAAATTTACGGTAGAAAGACAAAAAAAAATAACCGTCAATATTTTAATGAAAAGTTACGATAAAAAGACACAACAAAAAAATAACCGTCAACGGAAAGAGTAACCGTAATTATTTTAACAAAGAGTTGCGATCAAGAAGACACAACCGAAAAAAAATAACCGTCGATATTTTAACGAAAAATTACGATAAATAGACACAAAAAAATAACCGTCAAGGGATAAAATAACCGTAATTATTTTAACAAAGACTTGCAATCAAGAAGACACAAACCAGAAAAAATAACCATCAATATTTTAACGAAAAGTTGCGATAAAAAGACAAAAACGTAAAAACTAATCGTCAATATTTTAACAGAAAGTTACGATAAAAAATACACAACCGAAAAAATAACCGCCAACGAAAAAAGTAAACGTCAATATTTTAGCGAAGAATTACGATAATAGACACAACCGAGAAAATAACCGTCAATATTTTAACGGAAAGTTTTGATAAAAAGATACAACTGAGAAAAATAACTTTTAATATTTTAACGGTAAGTTGCGATAAAAAGACACAACCGAGAAAAATAGTCGTCAATATTTTAACGGAAAATTGTGATAAAAAAATCAAACGAATAAAGTAACCGCCAATATTTTAACGAAAAATTGTAATAACATAACCGAAAAATAACCGTTAACAAAAAAGTAACCACCAATATTTTAACGAAAAGCTGCGAGAAAAACACAACCGAAAAAGTAACCGTCAATATTTTAACTGAAAGTTGTGATAAAAAGACACAACCGTTTAGAAGTGTAAAAAAAAGCATAAATATTTAAACGAAAGGTTGCAATAAAAAGACGTAACCGTTCAGATTTGCAAATGGTATTTATTGGAAACGACATAATCGTAAAAAAATAACCGATTAAAACAAAAATTGCGATAAAAAGACGCAACCAAAATAACCGTAAAAAAATAACCGATTTAAACGAAAGGTTGCGATAAAAAGACAGCAACCGTTCAGATGTGCAAATGGTATCTATTAGATTGCTATTATATATAGATTAGTAATGAACAAGACTATGTTCTTTATTTATTTTTTATTACGATCCATTATCAAATAACAGACAAATCTTAGGTCAAATTAATCTAAATATTTATTCTAATGAATCTCTTAGATTATATTTTCAAGAAATTCATTTGCTAACTAGATGACTTTTGTGGAGGAGCGGATGGAGCACTTTCTCTTCGATGGGTTTTAATCACAAAATGGCAAAAAGTAATGCAACTTTATTGTCTTATTAAACCTGTGAAAATACGAGAATTGGTTAGCCCCACAATAGCATAACTGCGTAGGATCATTGAATTTTATAAATTTAAATTATGTTTATAAAGGGTAAATATGTTTTTGAGAAGAGCTTAATTAGAGCCTAATCAATCAATTAAAAATTAACTTTTTGTACAGTTATATTTTTATGTTTAATTAACAGAAAAATGAAAAAGATTATGTTAACCTTTTCAAAATTTTATTTTCTGGTTATAATTAATTCTAGTTATATACATTAACTGAATAATATTTTATTAATTGGTCAATCGAATGTCTAATATGAAAAAACACGTTGATTTTCTATTAATCAATATTTTGAACATTTTGGTGAAAACCGAACGTTCGAGGGATTTTAGCTGCATAAACAGACGATTTTAAAACAGAGATTCGAACAGTATATGCATTACATCATAACTAGCTTCTATTTGTATATACAGTATGTGTATACAATTAAGATTAAAAAAAAAACTACACACGTAAATCATCAATTATTCAAATATAACATTATTCCATTGAGCTAGATTGTCAAGAACTAAACATTCCAATAAGAAAAGAAATATGACATGACACGTTGAAATATCTTTGAACAAATAATCTTTGCGAAAGGCAAATGAGGTATATATTCTAAGTTGGTGGTGCCTTTAATTAAAATATTATTTCGTTTCTTTCAAAAACCTAAATGGCTTCATCAAACGCAGAGGATTTCGCGAACTACCGAAAGTAAATGGACCTTTTGTCATTTGTGGCGAGCCTAGCTAGTGCGTCTTAATTTTTGAAATAATTTCAATTTATTTATCATTTTGAAATTAATTAAGTAGTAAAAATTAAAATTTAAGAAACACAGAAATAGTGTTTTTTGAATGGTTATGACTTATGACATGGAATTCAACTTACTATAATTAGAGGGAAATATTATTCCATTAAATCTCCCGTGTGACATTTGGTATTTCCCCTATTAGTCTTTATATTTTATATTTTGTGGAAAAGTAAGATGTGATATAATTTTTCTATCTTGTAATAGAAAATTGGTTTAAGAAGTTCGATGACATCATTTGGTTTACAATAGAATAAGACCTTCGATATTTTTAAATGCTCTTTAACTTATGTAGTCTTCTATAATCCTTTCCATAGAACCCTTTAGTAGGTGAATAGCCACAAGATTGCAACTTATAGGTTATATTTGGTCTATAATTAGAATGCGTGAATACAATTCTCCAATAACTTTTTTTAATCATTTTCAAATGGTTATAATGCTAAGACTTTTTTGTTTGTATACAAGGCCCAACTGACAGTATTCAACTACTTTCTAATATATCGTATACAATTCTCCAATAACTTTTTTGTATCTATGTCATATTTGCTAAGTGATGATAGTATTCAACTACTTTCTAATATATTGTATCTCGAACCTTAATATGCATTAGTCTCTCGAGCCTTTTAGTTTTGTCCTTCAACTTTTTTTACTTTTTAAGTAGCAAAAAAAGAATCATTTGTCAATCGATTCGAGATAAATTGAGACGAAGGATGGTTTGGTGTTTAGATAATGTGG